ATGAACGCCTCAACGTATAATTTTGGCTTCGGTAAAACTGTATCAATAAGAAAAAAGATAAAAATGTGAATACAACTGAGAGCATCACTAGACTAAACTTTGGATAATGTAAAGTATACGTAAGCAACGTGCAGCCGCTGAATCCACTCTTGCAATGCCAACGAAGCAGTATAAAGTTGATGCAATTTCTTGCGATCAGCCAATTTTCTTGAGTGGATCCTAGCAACAGGAGCGGTCTAACAAATCTTTTCTTTTTCCCTTAAACTACGCCTGGAAGTCATAGCTTAGAGGTGCAACGTCGCACACCTCGCTTACCACGTTTCTTTAATCTTACTTTGACTAAGTCACTCTTCGTTGAACCAACTTGACTGCGTTCGCTAGCATAGGAAATTTGGCGATGATAGTTGCCAAATGCACACAAGCTACAGTTAAAAAAGTTTTGTGCTTGCAAAGAAGAATGTGGCCTTTTGCGACCGAAGTAGTAGTGACATTGTACAAATACGGATAGAACAAATGAAAGTTATGATTGTGAAAATAACGAAAAGTTAAGTGCTTGCGGCGTTCATTTTCGTGTAAGAAGGTTCTGCAAAAATACTACAATTACTTTGAAACTTTTTAACGAATTATCTAAATTTTTATTTAACCATTACTTTTCTCGACAATGTTTTATACTCTACCCAACAAACCTTAATAAGTTGAAAAGTCAAACGAGTTGTAGAATACTTTTTTTGTTCACTTTGAAGCTTGGACAGTGTTAATTGTCTTCAATAAGCAAAGCGTTACAAACAAAACTCTGCGAACTTCGCAGGGTATCTAACTGAGATTTCAACAATACTGCAATAAGACTCATTACGTGTATTTTCGAACATGGAAAGGAACTTGATGAACTTATCCGAAGTGTTTTTATAATGCGATTGAAGGTGTATTAAAATTTATTTCGTTGTAATTTGAAAAAAAAATCGGAATTTATTTCCAACTGAATAAGGACATAAAAATCTCTCAAAAGTGGAGAAAAGCCCAAGAAATAATATTACAGCAAGTTACAAGTTAAATTAACGCAGTATGAAATATAGGAAACTCGCACAGCTTACTTTATGAAACGCAAAACACGGACTAACTCACCTCGAATCAGCGAACTGTCAAAGCAGTCCCCTAGTCGCCGCCACTGCGGGGTGACATTCATTGGGCCCTGTTCATTGGTCCCTGTATTCCGCTCACAATTGGCCACGCCCATCAATTTTCCGCCTTTTCTCTCTCATTTACTCTCTCGTTTGGTTTAGTTTATCGACCTAGAACTGCCTTTTCCCTAACTCTATCCGTACCTAGACAATCACCCAAAATCCGGAAGCGTACTTCTTGCGGGATCTGACAGCCTCCTGAAGCCTCCAAGAGCAGGATAGTGTCTATGCGCTCGTGCACGTTTAAACGTCGAGCTTCGAGAGATAAAGGCCAATCATAAACCTCGCCCACTGATAACTTTTACATTGTATAAGAGCGCACGCATATATTTTATGATCGCACGAAGAAAATCCAAGACGAGCTAACCACATATATGTATGTGTGTGTGTGTGTGTATGTACATTACGACACAAGTGTGGGAAAATAGATTCTTGTCTCGTTTACATTTCTACCCTCGCTTCGCTCAAGCGTAAACACCACACGAGACAAGAATCTACTTTCCTGCACTTGTATCGTAATATACTATTTTTTTCTATTACTCCCGAACACGTTTGCAGCACACATGTGCCACATCGGGCTTTTCTCAGTCGGTCATAGAGATAGATTTTCCCGGCAGCCGACAGCGTGTCGGCACCGGTCCAACAGACCCTTTTTTCGACGCACAAGCCTAAGCTACCTGCTTTTCGACGTTCGGAACAAAAACGTCAATGCAAATTGATGTCAATTTAAAAATAGGAATTTTCCTTAAAAAAATGAAATTCGTTATCTATAATGCATTTAAAAACTTTTCAGAACAGATTGTAAACGTCAATCATGATTTTACATATTAATGATTTTTGTAAAATTTATATAAAGTAATAAAAACTGTGTATTGAAACTTAAAATAGTGATTTTCATTAATTATTGTATAAATATATTCTGATTCTGGTGGTTTGGAACACACTTGAAACTGTAGGTCTAGTCATAAAGTATATTCTTGTCCCAAACCCTTCCGAAAGTGGTAGGGGATTCTGGTTGTATATCTCCTATGACTATAGGAAACCAAGAGTTATCCACCTAGCGTGGGAGAGTAACGGTCAAGGCGGACGCCCCGATGTATCTAGGGATGAGTCGTAGCAGCATATTCTCTATGATAAAAGCATACAAATTCAGTTTGAACGCCACACCCGCAGCGATAACAGCAAGTGTAAATCACCTTTGTTTGTTTTTGTCGGCCGGTTTACGACTTTCTACATGTAAGAAAATGTATCGATTTTCTGGTCTAATATTTGAAATATTTTGAAAATAGTATAGAGCTACTATATTAGTCAGTAGTTAATTAATCTATTGTCTAAACTAGTGGTTAATTTTTTAACACTTGTTACACGCAAGGCGGACACCACTTAAAATCAATTTTTTGTTTAAATGTTCATTTTTCTTTAAGTTTCAATAGTTTTATGTACAATTTCGAAATATAATTTGTTTGTCAGCTTTTTATTGTTTAAAATGGTGGACAAATGTTTTTTTTATTGATTTCCCGCAATATATCAATTACTTTCGGTAATTTTTTAAAAATTTCAGAATTTAATTAAAAACAAACTTTTTTACTTTATCGACTATTTTTTAGTGTAATAATTGCATCCTATTTGATAATTTGTACGTTTACTTTGCACTAGAAATAAAATAGATTTTTTTTATTGGCATTTAGAACATATTTTCATGGGGTGACCGTCTAGTCCGACGATTTTTGGAGCACTTAAAATTTCATTACACTATTTATCGAACTTATTGTACTAGATAAAATAATTTTTCAGAGTTATAACTATATACACATGTTGGTTTTCATGCTAACTTTGCATTACCCATATAATTTTATGGATATTTTGTTATGTAGAACCTGATTGTTGTATTGTTCCTTAAAGTGTCCGTCTTGCCCGAGTCTCCCCTACATTTGCAGCGTTAAAAATGAGTAAGGTCTTGAAATAACAATTATAAAACAAATAAAAACAATTAAGTTATATCTTGAGCTATATAATTCAAAGTAAATTCAAAATAAAATTTAAAAAATTATCATCGCCACTTCTATTAACCCTTTCAGGGGCAGTGTATCATATATGATACACCTAAATTTTTTCGGTTTTTTATCTATACCGCGACCGATTTGAGCTCCATCCCTCTCGAATAAACTTCTATACCATCATTAATACTTCGGCTTCGTAATGCTTTGATTAAAAATTTGAAAATTTATTTATTCAACTATATATAAATGATTAAAGACGGAATATTTTCAGTTTTTTCGAATAAATTTGGTCTTGGACAGGGTTTTCAAGATAATTATATGAAAATTTGTATAAAAGGGCTTTTGAAGGCACTGATCACCAATCTGGTATCAGAATTTGAAAAATCCAATATGGTGGCTATTTTAGGTTAGAATTGCGGTTTTCTGAATATTTCACTTGAAAGATGGTATAAGGGTATTTATAGGCTTACTCAATATGAATATAAATTCGGAATTGAAAAATTTCAAATGGCGGACCTAACATGGTGACTAATTTCGGTCATGAAAACCCAAGTATACAAATTTTAATTCATATAAGCTTCAGTTTGAAATTTATGTCTACCATATTGGATTCGCTATTTTAAATTTTGAAAATCGGACTTCAGATTCGTAAACAGTGACTCCGGAAACCTTTATATACACTTTCGGGTTCGGGATAAGTGCAGCAAAAAAAATGCCTCTGAAAGGGTTAAACATACAGATTGACTATAATTTTGTTTAAAGCTGTAGAAGTGCAAGTGAACGTTACTGTAATCATATATACACGTACGGCTGATTCAAACAAACGAGATCATCTTTGTCAAGGGCTATATATACGGAGAGGGATAAAGAGGTTCCGTATCTTGTGTGTACCATACAGAGCTGTAGAACATTGAACTGTCTAACGATGTGAGCTTTGCCTCTTCGTCAATCACAACGTGGAGAATATGTAATTTCCAACCCAGTAAATATGTATTATACGTATTCAAGTGCGAGAAATGCGACTAAATTGTTTTGCTGTGGAATGCTGTAGGTTTGTTTTACGTGATTTGCTTTTGTTTAAGTTGAACAATACCTGTTCATTACCAGAATGTTATTCTAGATAAATCACGCTGTTAATAGGAGTTCATCACCTAACTAGTGCAGGAAGGTAGATTATTGAAAAAGCAGACGAGATGAGAATCTCTTTCCTGAACATGTTAGATACGTTATTTTTCGATACTCATGCGCAGTCTTTCCCACATGCTCGGAATAAATAGTACATTACGATACGAGTGCGGGAAAGTAAATTCTTGTTTCGTGTGGCGTTTACGGCCGAGCGAAGCGAGGGTGGAAAGGTACACTTCGCTCAGGTATAAACGCCACACGAGACCAGAATCTACTTTCGCACACTTGTATCGCAATGTGCTATTTTGAATGCACGTTTTTGGCCAAGTGTGCGGAAAGTACATACTTAAAATTAAATTACTTATGTAGCTATTATTATATACGATTTTTTATACTATAATTGATTCTTTTTTTCATAAACTCGAATAAAGTAGTTTCGAATTTATTACTGTATTTACTTATTGTTGAATAACCTATTATGGAAACATTTGTATTCTTAATTCAATTTAACTAGATATATTAAATATCCCGTTAATAAATAATATAACAGTAATCAAAATAATCAAACTTGCTTTTGTTTAATTCATAAATGAATCAAAATTATTAATTAAAATTTTAATTAGTAATCATTTAATTACATTACACACTTATATTTACCTTGATATAATTCTAATTTGCTAAATAATTTAACTCTCAATTCCTATGTCAAAATTGTCTTTATTGATCAGATGTAATATAACTCTTATAAATGAGACGGCATTTAATGGTGTGTTGCAGCCTTTCTCATTTGAACCAAGATGTTACCAAGCTCCTCACGCTTCCTCTTGGCACGAATGTGAGTTCCCAACTATAAAATAAAAGAATATTAATGAATTAATAATCAAATTGTTTGGAATCTCTTTAGCTGACAAATAATATCAAAATAATTTTAAGAATAAAATTTAAGTTTATTCATCTGTTATAACATGTATTTCAACCTACCCTCCTTTTCAAGAATTTCAAAGCACGCTTATCTTTCGATACTTTTAATAATTCCATTGCCCTCTTTTCGTATGGAGCATGACCAGTGACTTCACGGATTAAATCACGTATAAATTTACTATGTTTTGTTTGGCGCTAAAATAAAATGATATTAAATTACTATCATTGAGCATTGAGATAACTTTAAATAATTATTCTATTTATGTTTAGTCAGCTTTTTAATATGGATTTAAAAATAATTTACATATTATAAATAATTAATTAATAAAATATTGAAACTTATAAAGTTATTAAAACATCAAACATAAATAATATTTGATGACAAAAAATAAAACGGAAAAATTTACTTAATATCTTAATAACAAAGTAACAATATTTAATTAATTTTTCAAGCTTATTTTTATGTTAAGTGATAAATAAAGAATAACAGAACGAAATAAATGTAAAAAAAGCAAAATAATTCATAAGATTACACTATACTGTTATTAACTACTGTTCTTCGTTGACTTACCCCTTTCAACCTAGCGGGCCTAAGAGCAACAGTCTTATCCTTTTCGGTCTTGTTCTTTGCCACGCGAATTTTGGTCGTTTTATGACCCTTATTGAGGCCGACGGCCAACTCGTACCTCGGTGCCATCCTGGACGAAAAAGAATTAGAAGTGAAATTGGAGGTTATGTTTTCCACTTATTTTTGAAAACAATAACAAATTAAAGAATGTTTAACGATAAAAACTATACGTGTAAATAAGAACTCCGGTAATAAACAAACAATATTCGAAGAAATGACGTATTAATTTATCGCAGATTTTTTAGATTTTTTTGGATCTTTGGAATTTGACAAACCTGTAACGCTGAGAACACGCGAAAAAAGGATAGTGTCGATGGTGGCTGCTGGGTAGCCGATAACTTTTATAACCGCATGCGCGGTACACAAACGCCATCTTTAATAAACGCGGGATTTCGATTAATTTTGAAATTTTGAAAATACGTACTTCACTCGTTTTAGAAGAAATTACACTTTCATTCTAAATAAACTTGTTTTTTTATCGAATATTTTGTACAAAATATAACAATAAAAATATTTATTTGCCAATACAAAAATTCTTAAAAATTGTGTCTAATACTTCTTCTGTACTAATATGTCCAGTAATTTTACCAACTTCTCGAGCTGCCTTACGAATTTCTTGACTAGCTAAAACAATGTCGTATTCTTCTCTAGATATTATGTCAAAATAATTCAATAGGCATTCGTGGCAACGCTCCAAGTGGTTTCTATGCCTCTCTTGACTTATTGTTGGATTTTCTGCACTAGGATTGCCACATCTACAAAACGAAAATATAAATTATAATTGTAATAACATTAATATCATTAACGGTCATTATTTTTGAATTATTAATATGATCATTCAACATACATTACTTCAAAACGTTCTCCCATTACCTCTAGTAAATTTTGAAAACCCTCCTCATCAATACATGAAATTGCAACAACGTTTTCCTTGTTTAAAGTCCATTTTTCCTCTTCAGTTAATAAATCTGTCTTATTTACAACAACTATACAATTACCACCAAGCTCTCCATCCACTAAAATTAAATCTTTTAATTCCAAATTCTTTATATAATCATTTAGATATTCAGAAAACTTTTTTCTACTTCTAGTATATTCTAGTGAATTAATAACTAGTACTACAAAATCAGCTTTGCTAGTTTGATCCCTAGCTCTTTTAATGCCTTCAATTTCAACAATATCATTAGGATTTTTATTCAAACCAGCTGTATCAGCCAATAATATAGGATAACCAGCAATGTTAGCAGTCAACTCAACAACATCTCTAGTTGTACCAGGTATTGGCGTAACAATTGCCGCATTTCTTTGAACTAAACGATTCAGTAAGCTACTTTTTCCTACATTAGGTTCTCCTATAATCACAGTCCTTATTCCATTTCTTAAAATTTCTCCTTTTCTCCCATCTCTCAAATGTTTGTTGATGTTTTCAGCTAATTGTTTTAAATTAATATTAGACTGTTCAAAAACATCAGTTTCAATATTCTCTTCTTCTCCAAAATCTATGTAAGCTTCAATATGAGCTAAACTTTTCAACAGCTTTGCTCTCCAACTACTGTACAGAGAACTCAAATTGCCATGAGCTTGAAGTAGAGCTTGTTTTCTTTGTTGCTCAGTTTCAGCATGAATCAGATCAGCTAAGCCTTCAATTTCAGTCAGATCCAATTTATCATGGAAAAAAGCTCGTCTAGTGAATTCTCCTGGTAATGCAGGACGAAATTTTAATTTTGACAATGCAGACATTAGTGCAGAAAGTATTGCTGTTCCACCATGAATTTGGAATTCTACACTGTCTTCTCCAGTAAATGAATTTGGTCCTAAAGGAATTTTTCTTTTAATGTAATTTTATGATTTGATTTTGCTTAAAAACTTAAGATTTAATAATTATATCATGATAATATTCAAACAAGCTTACCTGGAAACCAAAGGCATAAGCCTTTATCAATAATATCACCAGTTTCAGAATTTCGAATATTCCTTAAATAGGCTTTTCGAGGTTCCAGTTTGGATATATTGGTCATTTTATCCAGAGCTAATTTAGCTTCACTACCTGATATTCTTACTACCGCAACTCCACATTTCCCTTGACCTGGGAAGCACAATATTATTTTTGTATAAAATAAAATTTTATTAATAGATTGAATAATTCTCATTACCAGATGAAAGAGCATAAATTGTTGAACCTTCTTTTAATTCACTACATAACAATCTTTGGTGTACTTTGATAAAACTTTGCAAAACACTTTTTCTTTTTATACAAAACTGAATAAAAACCATTTTTATTTATAGTATATTATTTTCATATTATATCTATCTTCCTTATTTAATTTACCTGGAACACATAACTTTGTGTTATCAATAATTATATATTTTATTAATATTTTATTTAAAACTTTGAAATCATTATAAAAAAACTTATTTTAATTTTTCAGAACTCTTCATACTTACATAAATAAAATAACTATTTTTAAAAGATTTCAAAATAATATAAAATAACGAATATTGTGTATATATTCATTACAGCGTAAGAGTATTTAATAATTACATTCGATTCAGATGGGTTATGTATTACAAAGTCATGCGTATTTTTTTGGAAAAAGGGATGAATGAACTCTAGATCATGTACGCAGAGGATAATTGAAGCGTAAACTGCGCAAGTGCGCCTGCGGCAAGTACACAAAACAAAAGAAATACGCCCGTGCCGTGCATGAAAATGACACATGCAGTAGTGTATCAGTAACAGTTTGAACTTTGTAGTAAGTTGTTACGGAGATTTTCATATTTTTCAAATGTTACAATCACAACGACTATCAATATCTGTTTGGTTTCCATTTGTTACTACCAATCATCATCAATTTAGGTAATAATTAATTAAAATATTAACGCTTACAGCAGGCAAGTGATAACAAATAACCCCACTCAAGTGTTTACATTCATATCCTCTTCATGATACTTTTATTGCTCTCTGCTGTCTTTGGAATGACAGTCTCGATCGGGTTATGCAGTTGATAAGAACTTATAAATTTCCATGAGAAATTATTTCTGGAATTGTTAGTTAGTTAAGTAGCACAAATTTACAGAAATGGTGAACTATGTGGAATTGATACAAAGCAGTATTTTATTATGGCTCTACTTACAAACAGCCTGGGTTTTCTTCATTAATTTTCTATACTTTACTATACCATGGCTTATATGGGGGGCTATTATTATTTTCTTCGTTATGAGATTTGGAATCAGAGTTCCTCCTCCTAATGATAGTGCTGTGAAGAAGGTACTTGGAGTTAATCCAATGGATATTGAAGAAAAGCATGATTTCATTTTAAGCAAAGAAGAACCTGAAGAAAATAAACAGTATTGTATGAAAGTTGTAGCACATAGAGGAGGGGGATTTGATTATCCTGAAAATAGTATGTCTGCTTTCCGTAATGTATGTATAATTTCAATTTATCAAGTTAATACAAGTCAGCTTTTTTTATTTGATTAAATATATTAATAATTTATACTATTACAGAGCTATAACAGAGGCTGTGATGCAATCGAATTTGATTTGGCTATGACAAAAGACAATATTCCTATTTTATTTCATGATGTAACTATTGATAGACTAACTGGACTGAATGGCAAAATCAAAGACATGACATGGAACGAATTAAAGGATTATGATATTTCAACAACTCATCCTCTTCGGTAAGTATTATTTCAATTTAAGCGAGTTATTTCCTATGAAAACAAAGTTTATATGAAATATTTTTTTCTTAATAGACCTATGTTCAATAATGAAAGTGAAAAAATTGCATTATTTGAAGAGGTATTAGTAGAAACATTGAAAAGAAGTCAACGTATGTTTATTGACATTAAAGCAACAGGCAATGAAGTAGTCGAAGTAGTTTTAGATGCATATAAAAGACACCCACAACTTTATGAAAAGGCTGTCATAACAAGTTTTAATCCTATCACTATTTATATGGTATATTTTTAATAAAAATTATATTATAAATATCAATCAACTTTCAAATTAAACTTGAAGTTACTTTTCTCAGATAAGAAGACAAAATCCTCGTATTGTAGCAGGTATGGCATGGAGACCTCAATTTTTGACCATGATAAACTATAACGGAAATAAAGGACCACACAAACCTCGTTTTAGAAATATTTTCAAACACATTCTTGCTATGATAGTGGATGGTTTTCACGATTGGGCCTTAGGAAGAATAACTTATTATATCCTTGGATTATCTTTCATATTACTACAAAAAGATGTCATCAGTCCGTAAGTAAAAGTTAATTTTTTTTATTTAAATTTCATTTTAGACTTAAAAAAAAGGTAAACCCCAAGTTCAATTTTGTATTAGAAATTTTTAATTCCATAAAAATTACGAAGTTTTCTACATCTTTTCTGGGAACATCGAAAACTTTATCTATCAATTGTTTGTTGGGATACTTCTATAACTATTTACAGGTTCGTTACAAAGATGGATTTGTCAAATCATAATTTTTTAATAACTCTAAATAATTTGGGAAATGATTTTCATAATAGCTTCTTTTATATTGAAAATTAATATATATTTTGAAGCTTAATTAATAATAACAATTATGAAAATTGAATTACTATTATATTTTACAGTGTGAGAGTATATTTTGAAACTAAAGTATATTTTAATCATTTTTATTATATTTTACTAATGTATATAATCCCTTAGATTGCATGTCTTAAGATAAAATATTTAATCAAAATAGAGTTTATTTTGTATTTTTCTAATGCACATAAGTTTTAATTATTTTTAAAATTATTTAATTTCTAGTAGAGTACAAAGTTTTTAATTCTAATTAAAAACATCTGATCTTAATTTCAGTGATGTAATACGAGAATGGAATGAAAGAAATGTTCGAGTTATTGCTTGGACAGTCAATTTACCAACAGAAAAAGTACATTTTACAAAAAATCTAAAAATTACATATTTGACTGACACTTTGTTATCTTAAAAAGATAAGATTGCATTATATAAAATAATGAAGCTGCCGAACAATTCTTGTGCATAAAGAACAAATATTTAAAGCTATTTATATTGCCCAGTATCTTTTACAAAGCTTTTATAATCAATATTTGACATTCAATGTAAAAATATATTAGTCAGTATTTTATAAGAAACATAATAACACTGAGAACTTGAATCATCTACCAAATTTTCATAAAAATAGGAGAAAAGAAACAATCTTTGAACTAACAATAGTAAATCTTATTTCGAAAAAATGTAAATATATACAAATTTTTATATAGAATATGAGATTATCATTTTATTAATAGTTTTAGTTGCAAATACATGCAAGTCACACGTTTATATATTTATATATTTAAAAAATGTAAGATGTATAATGTATTCTTATCATTAACTCAACATGGAAAAAACCACCAACACTTTTTACACGATCGTGGTCAATTTTCCTTTACGAGATTCCATGCCCTCTATCAAACCAGTTAACAAATCTTCCATTTCTGTAGCCGCTCGTTTGAGTTCACAATTGTTATCAGCACTAAATGTATCTGCAATCATTTCAAAATTTCAAAACCGATATAAATATAATAAAATTTATATTTGGTAAATCCTAATAATCAAGATACTGATTCTAACAAATCAAAATGTGATGAAAACTTACCTTCTAGCAAACAGTCGTTAGCTACCATATTTTGTAATCTATCTAAGATATCATTCAAATCGCCTTGAATATTTTGTAGACTACTGTGCTCTGAATGCTTATCAGTGCGCCGCAAAGAGGGTAGCACATTATCTCTACTTATTGATGAATAAGTGGAATAAGTAGAATTATCCACTTCAACATTCTCATAGTCATTATTTTTTTCTTTATTTTTACACAAACTATCTCGTGCATTTAACCATTCAGAAAATTCACTTTCACGTGACGTAAAATGAGTTTTATGGCCTACAATTTATAGAGGATGCATCAATAAACTGTTATAAAATGACTTTTAAAAAAGTTATTTATTTTCTTTTCGTTGTTATCAATATATTACCTCCTATCCATGTACTCAGTTCAATCTGAGTACTTGTAGGTATACTGAAATTATCAGTTGAAAACAATCTTTCAACACTCGTTTTATTTGTAGTATTATTTTTGGCATCAGTCGTTTCACTAATATCTAAAGTGTTTGAATTCTTATAATCTTGACTATTTTGATGAATAATTGGACTTAGTTGAAATGCCATTGGTAAAGCTGATATTCGAGAAACACCAGGACGTACCATGGGTGTACTTTGAATAACATTGACATCGCGAGATCCTTGGGATCCTTGCGTAAATAAGTAATTCTATAAAAAATTTATTTAATTAGTAAAATATTATTACAACAATAATATTAAGGTAGTGTGATATACTTTTAAAATTTTTAACCGGTCTAGTTGAGATTCAATGACAACTCTGTGCTGTTGTAATTTTTCAACCTTACTATCACTAATTTGTCTTAATTCTATTTGCAAATGTTTATTTTCTTCTTCAAGATGACTTATAATACTTTGTAATTCTTTTTGAGGGTCATTTAAAATTCGTCTTTTGATTGTACTTCTTACAGATATTGTATCTAAATGTTTCGTTTGTTCACTAGAAATAAAAAAAATTATTTTATAAACTATTATATTATTTGAATCATATTAATATCTATTATATCTTACAGCTTAGTTGTTAAAGACGAATCATCCAAAGAATTATTTATATTTCTTGCGGGACATAATCTAAGTTTATTGCGTAAAAGTTCAATTAGAAGTTTTGTTATTTCCTTATTATTTGTCTAAAAAATAAAAAATAAATTCATGTAATTTGAACTGACAACTGCTATTTATGAATAAAATAGCGATCATACCTTCATGCAATACTCTCGAACTGGATGTTTTAATTTATGTTTTGCCGATATCTTACCATACAAAAAACATGCTTGACATTGATTGTAATTTGTACATTTCAAACAAGAATATTTTGGTCCTTTTATCGACGTTATTTTACACGAAGAACATTTAATATTATGCGTAACTGAAAATTATATAATTATATTGTTAATGTGTTTAATGTTCAATATAAAGTTTACAATAATGTCAGTGCAAAATTACTTTGTTCTCCCGATTTCATACGATTTAGAGTTGTAATCCACATTAATAAAGGAGGCTCTTGCATAAGCCAAGCAGCAAATTCAGCTTCAGTCACTCCAAGACATCCTTGAGACTGAAACAATTCATATGAAAAATATAAATACTCAAAGCCAATAATAATCATACATAAATTACCCAAATATTGAAATAAACTTACTACACTGAAACAATTGCCAATGCTTGTTTGTATCAAATGCTTTCCATAAGCAACATTTTCTCCTAACATTTCAGTTATTTTACAAATATTTGTTAACAATGTGCTTAGAGCAGCCTTGGTTAGACATGCATTATGATCAGCTAATTGATGAAATAAATAACCATATTTTTCTTCCAATCTGCCACAACATATTAAAGTTAAAGCTACCTTTACAGACAACACTGAAATATTATCATCTATTTTTCTGAAAAATGTATAAGATAATAATTTCATGTAATTATGACTTGACAAATAAATTATACTGTAGTATTAATTATACTTGTTGAAGGTTTTAAAAATGTAACTTAAAGCTAGCTTTGTAGATTGTTCAACATCAAAATTAACATTATTTTCTTTTTGGGCTGCAAAATAAATATCTGACAATACATCTTCAATTTCATTAATATCCAAGTTAACAGAATTTTCTGTTACTGATAATCTGTGTCTTTCAAATATTCCAGCCACAAGTTCTATTTGAACATAGTGCACTAAAATAAAATGTAACATAGTATTATATTTTTCTGAGTAAAGCAAACATTACTTATTTTTATAAAATGAAAGGAAAACTTACTGTTTAAAACTTTATGAAAAAGTTGCATTTTTGATGCAGTCCTATATGAGGCATACCTAATTGTATTGCACTCATTTACTGACTTCATTATATCTTCCATTGTGGATTTCACAATTGTTTGACTGAAACAACGATTTTTATTTAATATTGACAATGTTTTACTAGAATATAACACAAGATAAATAATCTATTTTGTTAAATTTATTATTAGTAGTAAACATAATAATAAAATAAATTAAAATTAAACTGCTAATTAGAACATAAGTACACATTTTCTTGTAATTACATTAAGAAATTTCACATTTATTTAAACTAAAAGAAACTAGTACTTATATTATTCTCCAAGCTCTTTTCTTGGCAACTTTCTAAATTATTTAAAATACTCACTCAAAAAAACGTGATCTATTTTGACTAGCATTACATGTGTCACTTGTAGGATCTGGAATGAATGTGATAAACAGCATAAAATAAATATATTTTGCATACATTTTACTGACGCTTAGGTAAGTACTAAAAACTAAATAAAACTTGCCTTCTGCCATTTTAAATCTGAACGCAACGAAATTACTCTTGTAAAGAAAGGCTACAAACTACAGAATCTGATCGCTGATACTATCATCTACAACGCCCACTACATACATAGGTACATAACTCATGAAATTGTAGCGTGTACGCTAATTTTTGCAGTGATAATTTCAAATTTCACATGGTACTAACGTTAATTAGTCCATGAATTACGCGATTCTATGATACGTTAAAAGTACTCAGATTCCAAGGATATTTCATCATCAGAACTCTTAGTAAATGATGCCGATAGCTGTTTCGTTCAAACGTCGTTTTTTTTAAATACAATGGACGCCACCACAGAATGACGCGCTATGTTATAAACATAACCTATAAATCAACTTCCAGTCAGGAAGTTCGCACAACGAATGAGTACTGGCCGCTATAGTGTTGCACAGTACGCGAAACCATGATGCACAGGTTGCTGCAGGTGCGATATAGGCGCTATACTACAGTAGCACTAGCCGTTTTTTTCATACTGCAGGTATACTGGTGTGTAGCGCTATTAGTGGACGAATGCACGGTAGAAAAAAACCTTATGGCAGCATATGTAAACCGGCCCAGCTTGTTATACCTTCTGCCTGCAAAACCGGCGGGAAATGCAACTGCCGTTATATTAATATAGATCGCCATAATTCGAAGTAAGAAAATGCTAATTAAATTAAGATGAATCAGTTTGTACAATAAAAGAAAACTTAATATACGTACCTAATATTTTACTGTCATTACATATTCTTTTAATTGATTTAAAAGTTTTATTGCATAATTTTCCTAAATTGTTATTTCAGCAACTATCATATAAGAACACGTTTAACAATGAATTAGATACAATTACGCAGCTAACGTAAGACCCAAATGTGTATGGAAATTTAGTAAAATAATTGAAAATGTTGAATATTACGAAGTTCTTCAAAAGACATGTGTAGTTATATAAAAAGCAGGACAAAATGTTCGTAGATTTGTAATTGTATTGCATATTGTAAAATGCGTTCCATGATTATTTTCAAAAATTGCTTCGATAAGGTAATCATATAAGGATATCATTTTTAAGTAATTTGTGATGGCAGGTAAATATTTGTGGAAAATTTTATTTTTAGAATATTATTAGAGGAGAGAATCTTTTATTTTTATTCAAATCTAAATTTCATCGCGAATTTGCGTAGACTTTGCGGCCATCTTAGGGTCAATCTTAATTTTAAGCAGTTTCATGGGAGACGTAGCTGTGCGATGACAGGGAATTGCTCTAAATTTTCCATCGTTACAATATCTCTAGCCTTGAACCTGCAATATTAGACATCCAGCATTTGAGCCTTATATTAACATTGAACCTATAGCATTACAGCTCCAGTGCAGGCGCTCCAGCGTTGAAACTTTGGTGTTGGAATTAAACTAGATTAGATTAGACTTTGTTTTCATCCTTGAGGTAAAATCCCGTGTGATTACAGTACTGTAAATATAGCCTACGAAATACATAGTATAAGAGAGCGAATGATATCTTAACGACGCATAAACAATTGAACGACGGAAATAGTAAAGCAAATAACAAAATTATAAACGAATATACCACAAGTAGACAAAAATAAAATAAATAAATAATGAAACAGACGCAGCAACGGATCAGTGATTATAACGCACGCTAGTAATACGGAAGGTAAGAAGTAGATAAAATAAAAAAATACAGATACAAAAATGCAGGTGCATATAACAAGGAGAAGAGATGAGGAGACGAGAGAGGCTTGAGCATTCAAAAAATCTGAGCAAGCTTTTATAAATTTTCTTTGATATGCGTATAATGAATGCTATAATGAACGACATTGAACGAGTGATGCACACTGCAGAGAGAAGTGTAAACGCGTCAGAGTTTGCAAATAACGCTTAAGCACAAACCTGGGCTCGAGTTGTGCAGTCTTCAGTAAATTAAAGAGAGAGAAAGAGAGTAGAGGTACGATTTGAGTTCCCAAGTCTGCCCAGGAAGAAGTCCTAAACAGACAACTAATTTAAGAGATCTACACCATGTACGACGAATGAGCGCTTCCAGGCCTAAATCCAGAAGGCACGGATGTGGAAGGCAATTGGAGAGTTTCTTACGAATCTGCGTGCCACAACGTTCCTCAAGAGCAGAGATTCGTAGGCAGGTAGGAGAAAATACCGATATCTATAGACAGCTTTGTAGAGGAGAATAGTCGGCGTAAGGTGCCTACAAGAGTTTAAGGTTAGTAAACCCAGTTTTAGTCGGTGAAAGAAGATATAAGTAGTAAGGTTATTGCTTGGGATGAAGGTGATGAAGCCGTCCATGAAATTGAAGCAGGCGTTATGAATAAATTGTAGCTCACCGAGATGAGTCCTGTCAACATCCATGTAGATGATTGAAGTATAATTATTATGAGGCAGAACCAACATCTGAACAAGGTATTTATTAGCTAGGTAGAGAGAGCCTTGCTATAAAATTTTAATGACGGTGGACTTCCAGATCACCTCAACAATGTGTTGTTTTCACTGCAGGGTAGCTGACAGCATGATTTCCAGACTTTTAACGATGGTCAAGTACGGGGTCCCTCTTGAAAATATTCAGTAAGTTCTTATATAAGAATTTACTCGATAAGGTGAACAAAGAATTTCGTAGGTAATATCTTACGTAAAAACTTACTCAACGAGGTAAACGAATAATTGCGTAAGGAATTTTTTAAATAAGTTATTGCTTAAGAACTTATTCGATCGATAAGGAAAGGTCAAATTTTTTAAAAATACAATATCTTCGGTTAAAAATTGGACATCGCACTTAATTTATCAGTTGATTATATAAAAAAAGTTGTTTTTACTTCAGTTTTCTTTAATAATTTCTTACTTACCTAAAAAATTACCTACACAATTTTTCGGATACACGAAAATAAGTAAGTTCATACGTAAAAACTGTATCGAAATACATACATAAGGAGTTACGTAAGAACTTATTACTTATGTTATTACGTATGAACATGAAATTTTCAGGATGAGTGAAACTTCCTTTGATCATAATCCTTAGAATGGTGCCGAGGTTAGTTGAGGAAATGTAGAGTTCGCAGTCCAGGATGATGACCTTCGTCTTCGTAAGGTTAAACGCCGTAGTCCATTCGACGTCAGCTAAACAGCCACGCTTTGAGCATACCGTTGCGCCCTATCGATGCCATCAAGAATATCATAGGGGAAACTATGAACGTATATTTGAGTATCATTAGCATAAATCATATGTTTAGAATATAATGGAGGACATTTAAGAGGTCTTTGATGTATATGACGAATAAGAGGGGACCAAGGACGTTGCCCTAAGCCCCTCAGCCACTAGGAAATGGTACTTGCCCCATCAATGATTGTCTAAAACCTACCCACTAGATAGTTAAAGAATCAAAGAGAGAAAGAGAGAGAGAGAGAGAGAGAGAGAGAGAGAGAGAGAGAAGAAAACTTCGTGGAAATAACCAATCGTAGCAGCTGTACGTACCAGCAATTTATTTTCTCGTACTTTGGTACCAAAGTGGGTACGGTCAGAAATTGTGTCGGATAAAGGCTCGGGTAATGTCCCTCAAAGTAGCAATAATATCGTTTTCAAAACGCTCTACAAGAATAACCTAGAGGGTTGGGTTGCTGGTACGTTGTTGGATTCGAACTTTAGTAACATGCTGTTTGTTCATCAGCTGGTACAATTTAAAAAATTAATTTAATAAAATAATTTTCATTGAAAATGGTCTAAATTTCTAGAAAGTTCCTATAAGGTTCCGATTAATTTATTCAATAGATGGCACAGTCTTTCTCGCAAGTGGTAGGAAATTATTATAATTAGTATATGTACAGTTTTCAAACGATATATTGTAAAAAGAAATGCGAAGAAGTTAAATATTTACAGTTACACTAGGAACTATAAATATCTTTTCATATACGTAGGTTTATTAAAAAAATATTTTATTTACTAATTATATTTTGATATATACCCGCATAGTTCCAGCTATGTACCTAACACATTTCCAAAATTTGAATCTGGCAACGTACGGACAACCGTTTAGGCAATTATTGCACAATGTTCCGGCATCTTTTTGCTACTTCAGAAGACATTGTTTGCTGTTACTGTTATATTGCTCATACATTGCTCATACTGTTACATATATAGGAAAATTTCTGACCATACCTATTTTGGTACTAAAGTACCAGAAAAAATATTGCCGGTACATAGCACTGAGACTGAGACGCTATAGAGCTCAACTTACTTTGTTAGATCATATTATAATTAGTTGAATTATATGTCTTGAATAGGAATCACCCGTAACCCACTGATAAGTTCTAACGATTGAAGATGGGTTCGCAAAGACTTGAGCGATAATGACTGATAAATACGCTTAAATCATTGCAATGGGAAGGTAGAGTATGTTAACTTTATCATTAGAGCACGTGTACATTAAGAATTGAAAAAGAATCGGCGCACAGGAAAAAATGTAATGTTGCAGTCTTAGTATTAGATTTCCAGCATTGAAACTGTGAAGTCAAATTAAAAGGCTAAACGTTATTTTCATGCAGTTTTATACTCTTGCCTCTATCCAAATTTTACTTAAAAAAAAACCCTGAAGAAAAAGAAGACAAGTTTCTATTATTACATTATTGTAGCACCAAAGATTAGAGAGACTTAAAAACTTGTCGCATATGAATAACGTCGGCTTTTCGCCTTGACTTTATAAGTAACCAGTACACGTGCATTCCAATGCTACAGCTCTAACGCCGAAGCTATAATGCTATTCATTCAATGTTCGATCAAATGATAACATTTAATCCTGTAATGCTGCAAGTTCTGTAGAAAACATCTTCGGCGTAGACTCTCATTCTCGACGCGAACCGAAAGCGTAAGTAGCGAGACGAAATATAGTTCACTGCCGGTCACGTACTTTTAAACCCCCAATCCCTAGGCAAAATCAGACAAATTTGTAGTTTTTTTATCTCTGGAATGACATAACTTACAGAAATGAGCCAGGATTTGTTTGAAAGATGTTTCCAAGAGCTTTCAAAATATGTACTTCACCACTGCATAAAATTGTTAATTTAATTTTTACAAGCGATGTTTTGATATTGCAATTTGAAAAATTTTGTTTTTATCTTTGAAATTATGTCGGACGTGGGATAAAAGTGATAACAAAATTTGACAAAGTGCATTTTATAACTCATTCCAAGCTCTATCCGAAACATTCATTACAAAATTTTTTTCATAACATTTCCGTTTTTTTAAATAAATATCTTAAGTGAATTTACAACGTCTACTTATTGTTTTCTGCGAAGTAATAAAGTTTTCCACGTCAAAATTTGTTTATATTTTGTAATTTTAATTATAAAAATTTTTATTTCAGAAAATAAGCAAAAATTGTTTTTTCCAAACTGTAACATTTACGATGCATTATTGTAAGAATAAAAAAAAATATTTTATATAATTTTGAAAAAAATTTTTTGCGCACCGGATGGAGGAAAAAAGTTAAAAAAATTTTTTTAAACAAAATCTGAAAAAATTTAGCAGCATTTTACATGAAAAAACAAACATTTTCTCTTATATAAATTTTTTTCTATTATTGGAATTCATGGAAATATAGTATGTTGAAAAAAACTGTCAATGTAAGGAAAAAATGCTCGTACGCGCGTCACAGTTGATGAAAAAAATTTCTTAATAAATGATTCGGATAAGGCTTGGAATGAGTTACAAAATGCACTTTGCCAAATTATTTTATCACTTCTATATCACGTCCGACATCATTTTAAAGATAAAAAAAATTTTTCAATTTACAATGTCAAAAAATCGCTTGTAAAAATTAAATAAATAATTTTATGCAGTGGTAAAGTACATCTTTTCAAAGCTCTTGGAAAGATTTATATTATATAAATAATATAAATTATATAAATATAAATTATATAAATTCTACAGCTCCAATGCTGGAGCTACTTCAAAGCTACATTTGTAACACTGCAGGTTCGATTTCGTTTTTTCCATCGGTTTTTCCTTGCAAGCAACAACTTCTTTCTTGCAATAAAAAGAATCTTTAAATGTATAGTCTCTTTCTGTCTTACTGTTTTTGCTCAACAAGAATCCACATATACAAAAGAATACTTCATCTTTTTCTTGAGCATTTTACTCGTCTTCTCGTTAAGCACATCTTTCTAAATATCTCATTTCCTTGGACAACCGTCTTTTCTTGAAACCATCATTTTCTATAAGCTTCAGCTAGTGCTCTAACCGAACCATTGAGTTCAATTTTATTCACATTTTGAGGATGCCATATTGTATGCTACATAGTTTACCTAACTTTTTTATGAATACAAAAACTCAAAAATTAGAAGATTAACAACTTTTGTCGATGCCAGCTATTCTTCAGTTGTCAAATCATACATCAGAACGGAAAAGACTCGAATTTAGTTTTCCAAAATATTTATAAAATTTCCCTAACTTACTCTAAATCATTCTTCGTTTGATCTCTGAGAAAAACATACAACAAATCGTCCACTCAATAAAGTACACGATGGCATCCAACTCGGAAAATCCCTCATGGGAATTATATATATAGGATATATATAATTATATGGGATCTCAAACAGAATTCCATATAAGATTTCAAAATTCTAATATAATTCTCGAATATTTTACTCAAATTTACTCGTTGCAGTGTAATACACACTTATATCATTTTTGAAATATGTCATTCTAAAATAAAATATTTTTTATTTGAAATAGCATATACATTCATAACACCATCCTTACATAAATAATACAAGGAAGATTACTTAACGTAAGCGGGATTCATTTATTATTTAAAGAAATAGAATTTATAATATATAATATGTAATTTGCTTTTGTAAATTTACATTTTTAATTAGTGACGGAAAATATGTATCTTTAATGTATATATCTATCTAATAGAACCAAAACTTACTTATTATGCTTAAATACAAATATATAAACTTAATATTATTTAAACAAGATATTAATAATTCAAGTTATTTGGTACAGAAGTAATGTATTAGATTTTTTTACCGACAATTACAATGCAGATTTTGTTAAGACTCGCCGTTGTCGTTATTCTAACTTTTGTACAAATCTTATTTATTTCATTTAGTAAAGAACATATTTCAAAAGTAGTTATATCTATGCGTTTATACAGGGTCAGTTTCTTTTTTGAAATTGGGCTAACTAAAAATAAAATGGATTTCGATGAATCTTTTGTTGTCCAATTGCGCATAGTGATTAATTGAACACATATTATATATTTTGTTAGATGTGTATAATTTATGATTTTAACAACTCGAAACTATTTTAAGGCAGTATCTCTATTCAATTGTAATTTTGTTGAAATAGTTATTCCTGGGTAGGTTATAGATGAAATTCTAAGACCATTTAGTAATTTAGTGTTTTCAACATCACAAAAAATTTTTTAAATTTGAGATGTTTTATTATAAATATAATTAGATAAAATATTTTTACCTGGACAAAAATTTACAATAACGTATAATTTGTTGATTTATACCATTAGCAAAGTGTACTGCATGAAGCAAAGCATGATTAATTACTTCAAATGCGTATGCCGAATGAGCCCACAAGACCTTCAATCTTTAATACTCATTACCAGGTGTAAAAGTTGATAGATATTGAAGGTCATAGCATTTTTTGAATACCACTCTTCTGTTTTAAATAAACATTACATGGGTAATTTTGCTGTTTTCTTAATTTGATCCACTGTTATGATTTCTTGATTGAGTAATTAGATACTTTCCACAAATAGAGACTAGTATTGGTAGAAAAATGGATTTTATGCCATGCAGCGGTAAATCATTGCACATTTATGTAAAGTAACACTCCATCATTAGCACATCGATGCCCGTTGCTCCAGGATCCATCTGACGGAAAACAATAAGACGAGAAAGTGCCGCTCTCTTATTTTCACTTATAGCTTTCTTTTATAGGGCTTGTAGAATAATCGGTATTGATGCGCTAATGATGGGCTATTGCTTTACATCGAAGGGTCGACAGACTGGCGTTGATGCATTTAAAATTATTATAATACGTATATTATTATAATTATACACGTTGATTAATGTACACCAATTAATAAGTTCAGTATTTTGTACACGTGGTTGCATTAATCGTGTACTAATTTTTTAACAGACAAAAAATTTACAAATCCGATAAATCGTCATGAACGTACACACGTTAATTAATTTGTATTCATAAATACGTCCAGTATTTCGTACAGGACTATATATCGTGTATATCGTGCACAAAAAAAAAGTTAGCTCATTTATTACATTTCCAGTGAGTACAAGGGTGGTCCGATAAGTACTTAGCCTCACCGCCCGATGGCGCCACTCTCGCAAAAGAAATATTCTATCACGTACTACAACCTTCTCGATGGTTACTGTCAAGATTTCACCCGGATCGGAGTTGTAGTTTATTTTTGAGAGCGTGTGAAAGCAAGTGTGTTCGTTGATTTTTGAAAAATGGTAAAAGAGCAGTATCGGTCGGTGATTCGATTCTTGTTTTTGGAAGGTAAATCGCGCAGCGAAATCAAAAAGCGCTTGGATGCTGTGTACGGTGACTCTTCTCCTTCGATGGCGACCGTCAAAAATCGGTTTAACGAGTTTCAACGTGGTCGCACGTCGATTTTTGAAGAGCCACGTCCAGGTGCTCCGAAAACGGCTACCACGGAGGATAACGTGACAAAAATTCACGATCTCGTATTGGCAGATCGACGATTGAAGGTGCGCGAGATAGCTAAGATCGTAGGCATCTCAAAAGACCGCGTGGGTCATGTCCTGCATGAAATTTTGGGCATAAGAAAGCTGTCGGCGCGATGGGTGCCGCGTTCGCTCACTCCGGACAACAAGCGCAACCGTGAGACAACTTCAGAGCAATGTCTGACGCTGTTTAAGCGCAATCCGAAGGAGTTTCTGCGTCGTTTCGTGACAGTCGACGAAACATGGATCCACTGGTATACACCAGAGACCAAGGAACAGTCGAAACAGTGGACTTTACCCGGCGAAAGTGCTCCGAAGAAGGCGAAGACTTCCCCATCGGCCGGAAAGGTGAAAAAGGTGAAAGGCCAGAAAAAACGGCCCCATTTGGCGAAGAAAAAAGTGCTCTTCCACCATGACAACGCACCGGCTCATACTTCCGCCGTCGCCATGGCCAAATTGGTCGAATTAGGCTACGAACTGCTGCCCCATCCACCGTATTCTCCAGATTTAGCCCCGTGCAACTTCTTTTTGTTTCCAAACTTGAAAAAGTCACTCGCCGGGCAGAAATTTGAGTCAAATGAGGAGGTAATCGCTGCCACGGAAGCCTACTTTTCAGACCTCGAGGAAACGTATTTTTCAGACGGGTTAAAGAAGTTGGAGCATCGCTGGGCCAAGTGTATCGAACTAAAAGGAGACTATGTTGAAAAATAAAATGCCACTTTTCCAAAATTTTCGTATTTCTTTTGTAGGCTAAGTACTCATCGGACCACCCTCATATATTTCTTCTGTCGATACTTGTTCTATCACAGAGTTTATAACTTTTAACAATTTTATTGAGAAACCTGAGTCTTCTGCGTATTTTTTTTAATATGATAAACACATGCTTTCTTGCTAGTAGTCAACTTGCTTTCATATAGCTGTTCATTCCTCATTCAAAATACAATCTTCATCTCCAATTCGAGAATTCAATTTTAATGCTTTGAAATTTTTAAATATTTCTAACTAATCCGGTATTATAATTATTTATTTGATAAGTTTATTATTAATTATAAACTTTTACAAATATTTAGATTTTATTGTATACAATCGAGATGTTTATGTATAATTCATTTTCTCTCCCAGATAAAAATATTGCAGGTATTAATATTAGGTATGAATAATAAAATAAAAATAACATTATATATAATAATTATATGTTTTTTTCAGGACATGAAAAATATATTTTTTATATAGATGTCCTGAAAGTTATAACTAATCCGGTTATTATGATT